TTATATGAATTTAGTTTTATTCACTTGCTCTTCCTGCCTCTCGTTTTTTTTTAAATTCCTCAAACGAAATCCAATTTTCTTTGTACGGTTTTACGGACTTTTTGCGAGACTTGTTGGATGGAACGAAATTTATTGTAGGGGATATGGGATTTTTATGGGAGATTGGCTCGTTTTTTGAGTGGATTAACATATAGAAATGTCATATCCTTGGATTTTTTTTAGGAAATTTAGATTTGTTTTTTATTTTGTGTTTATGAAAAAAATGATGTAGTGTATTTTTTTTTACGGAGGACATAAAAAATTGAAATAGAGAATGGAATTAGTAGAAGCCATGGGATTATTTATTTAATTTATTTGTAATGTTGTTTTATATTTTTATTATCTTGCAATATTTACTTTCTCTTGAAATATTCATTCGTGATATTCTATTTTGTTGATTATCGTAGATGAATAAATTTGGCCCTGAAGAGGAGTGCCTTCCGCACTCGAAATATTGGCTGTGAATTTTGGATTAATTGCGTTAGTTATTGCCGGATGTGAAAGAGTTGTCTTTGAGAATAAAAAAATTACAATTTTTCCTGCAGACTGACACATAAAAATTAAATTTCACATTCGTTATTTTTTAAATTCCTATTTTCATGACGTAAAAATAACAAAACACATTTTTACGGAAAAAATAATTATATTATATTTATATATACATTTTATATTTCTATTTTTTAATTGACATTCTCATGAAATGAAAATAACAAAACATGTGTTTGCGGACAAAATAAAAAATTAAACTGCAGAGTAAAATCAATAAAATGAAATACAGTAAAGAATTCCTATTGATAGCTAAAGTTATGCTATTACAGAACCATAACAAGAGGATTGAAACGCAGATCCACCGAAACCCATTTGTAGTAATTCGTCAGGGGCTTTGGAGTATGTGTAGAGGGTAAGGGGGATGAAATCTCGTGTCCAAAACTCTAGTTGCAAGCTTTATACTTTCGGGGGGGCTACACTTGTCATGCAAAGTTGAGGGGTGATTACTCAGCGACACGATCCTCCGCAGTTCTGTCACGGAAATATATCTGCGGGTGATGCTGCAACGGGATGGATAGACAGGTCCGGAAGTATATTCACCGATAGGCCGGACGTGGCAGGGGCGGCTTCGCCGTCCGAAGGGTGATCCCGACGCTGATGAATTTCGAGAGCATGCCGCGTCAGTATCTCGAAGGCGGTATTGGGCTTCGATCTTGCGAGGGGAAATTTCTCAATCAATTTCGTCGTTCGGAGCAATTAAGGGGGCATGTAGGGGAAGTGGTGCCTGATTTCGAATTAAAATAGTCGCATAGCATTCTATGGCTTTTCAGCTAGATATTTAGAGGTCTCGGATCCTCAATTTTTCTCTCACTTCCGATGAATTATCAAAAAATGAAGATATAGGAGCTGAGTGAGGGGTACTGATTCCTATATCACTCAGTACCTAACCTCTACTCAATAACTGTCAATAGAAAAAAATCTCCGATGTTGGATGATTCAATGACATGAATGGAATTCAGATTTTATTTGATAAATTGAAATGCATGAGAACAAAATGATATTGCGAAAATGTGAGAATGGTACTTCAATCATTATTGCGTGTTTTTTTGAGGGAATAATAATAAAATATTACGGCTCCATCTCGTTGGGACATTTTATTCTCTTTTAGCACAAGTTATACATTTGAATATTTATTCGTTATAACCATCCGAACGAGTCGCCTAAACCTCTCAAACAGTGTATTGACGGCTTATATAGAATGTCACAGCCATTCTCGTTTTCAAATTCTTCTTTCATGATCCGGAAATATCTCTTAAAATAGATTTTCATAAGAGAAATCGCTAATTATGTTGTACTTGCGTGATTTTTTCAGCCACAGACAATTGCATACGCGAGCTGTCAGGCACTGAGCGGTATCGACATCCCCCGAATTTAAGAAAACATTCTCTAATTATTAATTAAAAGATGAAAAAAGGCGATTTCAGTGTCAAATGATGTGAAAAAAAATTACACAGCGATTGGTCATAATTTTATGCGGTGAGAATGCCATTATTGTAGTGAAAAATCTTACGTACTGGTGCAGAAAAATCGCATCGTCAGACCCTGAAAATTCTGGGGTGCAATTTTTTTAATTTAAAGGGGTGAGAAAACGAAAATTTTCACGAGTTCTCAATGAAAAGAGTTAAAAATGTTGAAATTCCGTACCCGTTTCGACTCTCAAATCCCGTAACATCAATAAAACAGTGAAAGACAATCCCCTATTTACCAATTGCCCCACGAACCACTGAATCATAATCCAATTCGTTCCTTCATTCAATTTTCATTACACCCAGTTTTCACTGCACTGAATAAATCAGCAAAATTCGGATTACCAAACAAATGAAAAACTTGCGCTCATAAAAACATAATGAGAACCGCTAATATTCCTGAAATATTCGCATGATTAAATAACTTGATCCCCCAAATTTCGGATTTTCTTTGAATAATACAGCCCTTAAATTTCCAACTCCCCGTGAATCCGGACGACTGAACGCATTTGAATTCTGACCTGCTTCAACGATGCGGGGCGCTACACTCCCTCACGCATATCCTACCTCATTCCGCGTGGTTGGGATCGATACGACGGAAAAGGGAAATTCTATTTTGCGAGGAGACCCGAGTCGCTTTCTATTTCAGCATAATATCTCGTCATGCTGGCCGGGGAGAGGAGAGAACAGGGAAGTGGATAAAGTTGCTGACGAGTCAGACGAGTATTCTTAATCCACTGTCGCTGGGCAGTGGAAATTCCAGGGTCTGGTCAGACCAAATGCCATTTCGGTTTTATTCTTTATAATTAATGAGCCGAGATTGTTGCTTTGATATATTATTTTCGTTCGCAAAAAGCGTATTTAAAAAATGTTGGGGCTTGGTATATTTTTTCATTCGTATTTTTTTTTTTATTTCATCGAATTTTAATTTTTTTGCTGTGTGTACGTATGTATGTGACAAATTTTATCGTTGTTGCGCGATATTTGAAGAATGAATGATCATCTCATTAAGAAGCCTGGAAAATTTGCGATTCCAATGTCTGGTCATGAACCCGTTTTGCCCCTGTACTTCTGGAAAAACCGGAGGAATCGTTTTCAAGCCTTAAAAATTTGTTTTTCCGATATTCTAGGAAATTATAGGGCAAAAAGGGTTCATAACCAGGGTTTGAAATCGGAAATTTTCTGCGCTTGCGAATAGAAAAAAAAATCGTTCCATTTCTGCTAGTTCTCGAGGAAAAGCGATTTATTCGTTTAATGAATTTTTCAAATTTCATTTCCCATTCTTCATGTTTTTCTCGCATGTTTATTTACAAATAAATATAAACATGGAATGAAAAAGTGGGTTGTATGCTACCTTTCACCCAGCCTCACTCGTATGTCAAGAGAAAAAAACGCGTGTCAAATTTTATGACCAGCGGTTCACAATTTTTTTAATATTTCTCCCCCGCCAGGCTATCACAAATGGATTTGCATTAACGACGCATTCTCTCATCTCCTTTTTCCTCATCCATACCGAATTACTCATTAAAATGTTCAAGAGTTAAATGACACACTTGGGAGTGGAATAACTGGAAGAACGATTGGAGCGTGCGGAATGAATTTTTTTCCAGTAGGAGTGTAAAAAATTGGAGTAATGCCGCAGAAACAGGAGAGTATTTTTCTCGACGCAGTGATGATTTTTTTCGTTTACGATGCAAAGTCGTAACGTGTGATGTCTCACCTCACCCTCGTGACCCTCAACAAACAAAAACAGGAAAAAAAATTGAGAAATTGCACTTGTCCTCGTGTGGTATATTTATTTAGTAATATGCGTCCGAATCATTTTCTTCATCAATTTTTTTCATCAATAGGAGTTTTGATCATCCATTTGGTGCATGTTTTCCCCTTAAAATGAGTTCGTGAGTCAAGAATTTTTTTACCAATAAATATCACAACGTTTCCGATAACAACCTGACGCTTTTGCCATTTCCCTGTATTAATTAACGGGCAGTTCGAGGGAAATTCGATAAATGAAATGAAGAAATAAAAATATTTAAACTCATATCGAAGGAAAAAAATTATGAGGATTTGAAACAAACGAGGATACTAGTACCACGGCGAAATAAAATGCCAGCATGAATAATTTCGGTGCAACGTAGAAGGACTGAATTAATTACACGTGAAAGTGAAAATATTCGAGTTCAGTCAGACGCCACTAATTAACGTGGCTCTGATGAAAAGAGGAAAGAATTATTATTCCATCAATTAACGCGGAATTTCAGGGAATATTCGGGTAATACATTGAGGGAGAGTAGTTGCAAGTAGTCGCAATTAAAAATATACACCTGAATTCCATGAAATCTCAAGTTCTACGGTTTTTCCCCCAAAATTGAATTCAATGTCACTCGCTTATTTTTGCTAACAGTGAAAAAGGCAAGAATAATTGTCATAAAGAAAAATTCCCAGAAGGGGAGAAATTATTTTTATGGTGAACAATTGATTGTTTATAAATTATTTATTCAAATACTCATAATTTTCGAAAATTACATTTTTTTAATTCTTTCATCAATTTTCTTCTAGAAGTAAAGTTTCTCTTTTTTTGTTAGATTTGTAATATGGTTTCTAATTGAGATTCAAATTCAGTCCTGCATACATTTCTCCTAAAAATGAGAAATAAAATAACTCGAAAACATACAATCGAGAATGTAAATGTCGTTAGAATTAAAAATTCCCGTTTCCCAAAATCCAACTCAAACCTTTCTCTCACTTCATCAAAATTCCTGCTCTGAATTCCCCAAAAGCCCCCACTCTCACGTCACATTGAAAAACAGTTGTTCACCTGCTCCTCGCCAACTCCTCTGCCAAAACATCTCACCTCCCCCGCAAAATGCCCGTGTCGCAACGCCCGAGGCCCCTCAAAACATTATCTCCCCCAGTATTTTCAAGCCAAAAAACGTAATTACTCACGTTGCGTTGCCGGCGGGTGGGCACATTGCCCAGGGGCGTCGATGAGAGAGTAGGGACGAGCTACCGGACGCCGGGTAGCCTATATTGAATGCACGATGACGCGTCACTGGGTGAACGTGCCTCACACCGTTTAACGGTCCCAATAATTTCACTCCTCGACAATCGTCTCAACATCCCAGCGACGACTTCACGCACACCAAGCACGTCCCCTCACTGTCACAATAAGCCCCCTAAATTCCCAGCCTGCCTCACCCACTGACTAAACGAATTAATGAACAACAACCCACCACCGATATATCAATCTTCACCCTCAATTGAACTTCATCCACCAGTCCCAACTGGGCTGAGTCACGGCTACCACAGTCTCTCCTCAAAGAATCCCGTGTCCACCCGGTCATCCGCGTTCACCACTCTCAATCCACATATCCTCACACTTCCAACTCCCATGGACATACCCACAGCCCACCACCCCCCCTTCCTGATAACCACTGACGTCATTATCATCGTGCCAAACAATCCTCCAGAATTTATCAATCGTGATCAGTTCCATGACGATTAATTCACTCATCCCCCCAGCCATGCCCCCATGTTTATTCCATCGAGTGCCTAAATAAAAATAGGCAAAACGCTCAGTGGTATCCGCGCACCCTGACTAACCACCACGATGCGGCACAGCAACACTCCCGGCTCGATACCCCACAGCTCATACTCCAAAAAACGTTTAAATTCCGTGGGATGCAAAAAAATCGCGTCACATCACTCCGAAGTACCTCTTTCGCCGCGGACCCTCGAGCCACCAAACAATTCCCTCAATGTTCAATCATCAACTTTCAACTCCAAAAAATCCCCCAGCCCATCCCATCCCCCCAGAGGCCTTTCACAACCCCCCAAACATCCACTCCCCCCTCGAAAAAATCACTCCATACCCACAATCCATCAACAACCCCCCAACACTTTCCAAAAACTTTGAAAAAAAAAAAATATATTTATCCCCCACCAAATCTACCCAGTATTCAAACGATCAAACAGTGCCGTACGTTGAACACAAGTGTGTGCATTATCAACCGACGCGAAACCAGGGGCACTCCCTGGACATCGCGCTCACCGCACCAGAGTACCGCACCACGGCCGCCCACCTTAGTACTGACGCTGCCCGTTTATACGAGGGGGTGTTGTACTGCTGCTGCTGCTGCTGTGTGCCTTGCGCCCCCCCTCCCTCACCAATGTACGCGTTACGACGAGACGAAGAGTGCGGGGGGGGGGGGCGAAGGAG